ATGCTCATCTGACCATAATTTATTGCCCCAAACCCCTGAGCTTGCGGGGGCTCCGCCCCCTGAACCCCACGCCAATTCGTGACCTGCCAGTGTCACAAATAAGGTATACAAAATGCTCATCTGACGATAATTTAATGTATAAAACCCCTGAGCTTCTTGGGGCTCCGCCTCCTAGACCCAACACCAATTTGTGTCCTGCCAGTGTCACAAATAAGGTAAAAGAATATGCTCATCTGGCCGTTATTTATTAACAAAACCCCTGAGCTTCAGGGGGCTCTGCCCCCTGGACCCCACGCCAATTCGTGACCTGCCAGTGTCACAAATAAGGTATAAAATTATGCTCATCCCACGACAATTTAAGCTTCTGAGGGCCCTGGACCCAGTGGCGGAACCCTGGGAAAAACACGTTAATTTTACCTTCTTTGGGGAATCGCCCCCCCCCCTGGCGCTCAAGGGGGGGGGGGGGGTGCGATTTTTCAAATTTTCAAGGGCACAAAAAAAAATAGTACTCACTATTTTCGAGAATCGTCTTCTTTGTCTAATAAATTTAATGAAACGTCAATGCTTCGGCGCCTTGCGGAGGAGGGAGGGGGTAATCGCCTCTCCCTGCACCCCCCCCCCACTACGTCAATGCAGGTCACCATTACGTTCCGATATTTGGGTCGCATAATTTCAAATTTGGGCCCCCCTAAGAAATCCTGGATCCGCGCCTGGTGTAGAGCCTCTTAAGCGTTGGGAGCCCCAAAAGTTTGATGGTAAAATTTGACTCAAATGTTATCATAATGTGAAAGAGGATCTAATTTAAGACATATTCCTCGAGGGTTTTCAAAACAAATGCGTTTAAAGTCGAATATTGATGAAAGAATACAAAATTTGATTTTTCTGCGTACAACAGAAAACCCAAATTATTGTTCTGCTTCTTATTAAGCTAACTTAATATCAGGGTTGACTTCCCCTCCCTGTATTCAATAATGAGCAGAAAAGTGTAATCTATTCCTTTTTCCATTAGACCATTTTTCTTCAACATGTCTCAGCAACAATTTGTTTATATTCTCTCAGCAAAACAAACCAACATTTCAAATATATAGAGGGCGTCTATAGGTTTTTTGTTTGTTAATAAAACTTTAAAAAGTTACGCAAAACGTTGTTTGAATATAAAGCTAAAATCTGACCGAACGTTGCCTGCCCCAGATATCGATTTGCACAATCATGGATTGTATGTACTAATTCCAATCATGTTTTCACTCCGATGGATTGATTATACTCCTTAGCATATAAAACAAGCTACAATAAACACACCGTTTGGAATAGTAGAATTGTAAACAGGTTACGTTGGGTTCTAGATTATGTGCATGACAATCAAACCTTTCTGATTATCCTAATAATTAAAACACCATATGGAATAGATTTGTAAGCAGGTAACCTTAGGTTCTTGATTAGTGCACGACAATCAAACCTTTCTGATTATCATAATAATTAAAACACCATATGGAATTGAATCGTAAACAGGTAACCTTAGGTTCTTGATTAGTGCACGGCAATCCAACCTTTCTGATTACCATGATAATTAAAACACCATGTGGAATAGAATCGCAAACAGGTAACCTTAGTTTCTTGATTATGTGCATAACGATAAAAAATTCATGATTATAATATTACTAAAAACACCTCTGTTTTACAATCTTTTTAGGTGCTCTTCAAAAAAAAGATAAGAGATAAATGAGGTAAAAGTAATTATAGTTCTACAGGTTAATGCACAGAGATATTCAAGTCCATTGAATTGAAAGAGTGTATAAGCAGGCTAAGGTAATGAGAGTATTATGGAAAGCATATTATCTAGGTACTCTAAAATGCAAAGACTCTCCGGAGTCATACATTTTGCAAAATAGAAATTTTAGTTATTTTGTGAAAAATTGTTGGACACCAGTGGTGGATCCAGGGGGGGGGGGGGGGGCGGCGGCGCACAGTGGGCCAGGGAGGAACCAAAGTGCGCCAAAACTAAGTTTGGGTGATTTTTTTTTTTCAATTTTTTCTTGCCCAGTTGAAAGGTAATACATAGAGGAATACCTCAGTGAAATATTTAATTCCGTTATGCACAATAAGGGTATAAATTTACTACTTCAAACAGCAAAATCCTACATATTCACAGTTTTAGTGCAAAAGTGACTTATTTTTATAAATCTTTCAATTCAACATGAAGTTTTTAAGTTATTGATATGAAATTGCTCTCACATATTCCTGGTAGTTCATTTCGTTCAATGAATGGGTTAAAATTAATAGAAACACAATCTTCATGATATATTATAGGGTAATTCACTGAAAAATGGACTAATTATCCATGTTTTTTATAAATCCAGAAGAAATGTTTAGATCTCCGCAGTGTACCGCTTAAATTTTAATACCACCATTTCCTCTGATGTCTAAGCTTTAAGTTGATACCAAATTTGGCTGCCCGATCTTGCCCGTTGTTATGTTAGAGCCGATTTCCCTTGCCACATTGCCCCGAAAAATGTGGGTTTTGGGGGTCCGCGACTGAATCATGAAGGATTCGTGGTCATAAATCACGGCGCGAGGGGGCGCGTGACACTTGTTCTGACACCGCGGACCAAAATAAACACATTTTCGGGGCAATGTTGCAAGGAAAACGGCTCTAACATAATAACAGGCAGAATCGGGCAGCCATATCTGGTATCAACTTAAAGCTTAGACATCAGAGAAAATGTTGGTAATAAAATTTTAGCGAAAATCCCTGGAAATCCAAACATTTCCTCTGGATTTATAAAAAGAAAATCCCCAAACATGAGTTTTGGCGCACTTTGGTTCCTCCCTGGCCCACTGTGCGGCGGGCTGAGCGAATTATCAGCCGGCACGATTATCAAATTTTCGGGAGCAAAAAAATAAATAAATTAGTGCTCACTACACCCCCCCCCCACCCCCCAATATGCGAATTATCGGTCGGCTGTTTCGTCCCCAAATATTTTCTCACGAATTGGGCCCCTCCCCTGCCGCCGACTGGATCCGCCCCTGCTGACAACAATTGCCCTGAAGGGAAAAATGCTAGGGTTCCGGAATTCCGTCGGAAGTTGTTAAAAATTACCCATAAAGTTTAAACACAAAGGGGAAAAAAACGATCCGAAAAGCCACAGAGTATTAAAAAAAAGAAATAAAAACTCCGACCGAAACTCCGCTGGTTTTTCCAGTGTCGATGTTCGCTCTCAAAACACTGGTGAACTATATTGGTGTTCTCTCTTCAGCCCTATCGCATGCAGTGACAATAAGGAGGCACTATTCATTTACCAAAAAAAAAAGGAAAAGCAGAAACAGACGTCCTTTTATGGGGGTTTTTCAGTAGCGTAATGGTGGTTTAAAAAAAATACGACGGTTTTTCATATTGGGTCATTTAAAGTGTAACTGGGACTAATGAGTATCAGTAAAGTATATATCATGTAGGCGGTTCTAAGACACCTACCACCTGGACATCCACCCCCGGATTAGCACCCCCGGATTAGCACCCCCAGTCAACTACCCCTCAGGGCAACGACCCCTAGGTCTACTACCCCCCGGGACAACTACCCCCGGACAACTACCCCAGACAACCATCCCCAGACAATTACCCCCTACGACAGCCATCCTCTATGACAACTACCCGGATAACTATCCTAGGCGTAGTTGTCCGGGGGGTAGTTTTCCTAGGGGGTAGTTGTCCTAGGTGGTATTTGGCTGGAGGTAGTTGTCTGGGGATACTTGTCCCGGGAGTAGTCGTCCTAGAGGGTGGTTGCCCTAGGGAGTAGTTGACTGGGGGTGGTTACTCCTTAGCCCCCCTTACAAATTGAAATTAAAGGAGTCACCTATTTTATGGTCTCGTTAGAATTGGGAGCGAGTTTGTTTTGAGGATAGGCTACCCTCAACGTTAATAACTGTGCGCCAATCATTGCACTCTTTCAGAAGAAGTCACGTGGGTTGTATCCAGTGGCGGATCCAGGGGGGCCGGAGGCCCGGGCCCCCACCCCTGGGGGAAAAGCGTGTAAATTTACTTTTTTTTATGAGATGGGCCCCTATCCCCTGGCGCTCAAGGGGGGGGGGGGGTGAGATTTTTCAAATTTTCGAGGGCCAAAAAAAAATGTGAAGAAGTGTTTGTAAAATACCTGCCTTTAAGTTCTGATCTGGCCTATATATTTTTTTATTCTGTTTTGTTCTGTTTTAGTATTGCTTCGTCTAAAGAAATTCGTGGATAACTGCATAGCTACGCTGGAGGTGATGATGGTTATAGGACGGATCCGTACTTGCAGGATGCCACCATTCCCTGGCGAAGTCAGACTTATTGAAAAAAAGGGGGGTGGGGCACAGCCGGGGGGTAACAGACAAAATAACAGAGTCGGATAATAATTCCATGAATTACCTTATTTGGGTGGGGGCATGGCCCCTTGTCCTCTGGCTACCGCTGTGCTATGATTCCTGTACTCACAGCAAACAAGGCCCCTTCCGACTGGATACCCTCTAACAACAAGCAACTAGGTTATGCCTCGATCGAAAGTGCATTGGTAAATTATAGATTAATGTTTGGCTGAGGGACATCAGTGCCCGGCGGGGATTCGAACTTCTAACATCTTGACTGAAAGTTGATTTAATGAACCACGGCACCAGGAAGCTCCAGACCCTCTAGGTTCTCCTCTTCTGAACCCCTCTCTTTTCAAACAGTCTCTCCATTTCTCTCTCCCCCTCTCACTCTCTCTCTCTTTCTCTCTCTCTCTCTCTCTCACTAACTCACACACACACACACTCTCTCTCTCTTTCGTTCTCCCATTCGGGCTACTGTACTTTTCGTGTAGTGAGAGCTATTCAATTTAGTACAAAAGATAATAATGGTCAAGGTGGCGAGTCCTGACACAGGATGATTCTGTTTGCACACGCACTTCCTGTCATTTTCAGAACACCCCCAAATATTCATTCGTTCAAGCTTCGCAGCTAATTTGACATCATTCAGTTGTCATACCTGAGGTTTCATCAGCTAGAGATGGCTCAAGAGCGACCATCAAACCCCCAGCCAACCCGCGTTGGTCTGTGGTGTGTGCCTCGATCCACTTCCACCGTTTTAACCAAATGTCTGAGCGCCATTGACGGAATGGAAGTCTATCTCGAGCTCTACTCCTACGCTTCTCTCCTTAGAGGCTATTACTCGACGTCGACAGGTCGTCAGCTTCCTTGCGACATCGTCGGGAACGAGGCGGTCTACGCAGAGGCAAACGACATCTGGGAGAAAAATGTCGGCTACCGAATGCTGCCGAGATGGATGTCGTAAGTATTATTTATTTTATCAGGTATATCACGAAAAAATCTACTTCGACTGGATTTCCGTCCCTCCTTGTAGTCTGGTCAGAAAGGCGACACCGTGCACCCCGCCGATATCATTTTTTCTTTAAACCAAGTTTTCGTATTGCCTGAAGTGTTTATGTACCCATTGTCAAATCGTGTCGCATGAAGTTGGAAAAATAGGACCATCTTAGCGGCCCCTATAGTTTTTTGATGAAATTTCAATATTAGCAAATAATTTGAATTAGAGACCGTACAATCATAAATATGATTACATCCCTGAGAAATATGTTTAGACAACTAAGTGACGGTGATACTTTTCCTTTAACCAGGCTCCGATGAAAATTAATAAACAAAACAAAAAAAGTTAACCAATTTACACTAAAAAACGACATCTTGATACCATTTTAGTTTTTCAACTAGTAGCTTAAAGTTGTTTCAAATTTGCTATAGATTTGTTAAGAGTGATTTTGGTTTTGGGGGGCATAAATGTGCAAAAATAAGATAAAATTCACTTAGGAAATAGTGTTTTATGCACGATCAAGTCCCATTGGCTATTGTGGGCGAAACCCTTGTGTGTGTTAGATGCGGTACGATTCTGACAATACAAATATCATTGGCATAATTGTACGGAATAACATACCATTTTTGTTATTCATTATTTTCTTTGCAATATAGATCGAGTATTTTGTACTGTTTGACGGTTAAAAACTCAAAGACATGAAAATCAACAATTTTAGACCCGATAGAATGCGCATAACCAATGCAGAAAAGAATAGGAACGATTCTGTGTGTTTTATTTCCACGCGGGTTTGAGTTTTAAGTTATTCATGGCATCAACTTCTTAAACATCGGGTTGATGATTTTGAAAATAATTCACCTAAAATAAAAGTAATAGAAAATGTTTTCTTCCTACCTTGTCTCGTAGACACTCGTGTTGCAATCAATAGTTGGGACAAATTATCTCACAAGGTGAATAATAGGTAGTGTTTAAAATTTTGCAAAGTACCCGTAGAAAGAATACGTCAGACTATTTACAAACTAATGTCGCTTCTTTGCAGATGAAAATAAGTGAGAAGAAATTCATTATCTCTATACAGTAATAAGGCCTTAGAACCGAGTACAGAAATAAGCTAAGAGGTAAGACATGAATTATGATGAAGCTGAATTAGCTTTGGTGTAGACGTTAGGCTCTCTCTAAAAGACATGTGCTCTATAAGAACAGCCCAGACGAAGTGATGAATATAGGTGAGGCAAGCAAGTAGATGCTATTCCAGTACCTTGGGTGGTTGCACATCCCAATCACATAGGATGTGGACTGTGCTTGACCGAATTACTGCACATCCCAATACAATAAGGCACTCTAATAATGCTACAGGTGTCACTATAGAAATGGGTGACAATAAAAGACCAGACTTTAAGCCACGTAATAAAGACAAGACAATAATATTTACAAATGTAAAGCTCTTCTAAAGTCAAGTCACTACAGTACGTCCCTATTTTCACGAAGTGACGGATGAGCGCGCAATTAAAAGAAAGTTAGTTTTGAATAAATCACTTTCAAACTTTCAAATTATCATCTCAACCTCTTTAATGTATCAAGGGCAAATAAATGTTATATCTTGGGATAGAACATAATGTTTAGTTCTATGTTTTTTTTATTTTCCATAATTTCTTATATTTTAGGGGGAAATGAGCTGTAAACATAACCGTCACTTCGTGAAAACACGATATTCAAGGATGCGCTGTGATTTTTTTTTTCTTCACGAAGTGACGTCTCGTAGCCGCGCGCGTAAAACATACGGGATTTTTCTCTCGTGGATGAACTTCCCGAAATGAACACTAAATACGGCAAAACGTTTATTTAATTGATGTACAGATAAAGTAACTCGCACTTCGAGTACATTTTCCTCTTTCTGTAGCTGCTTTTTTATTCCTCTGTTTGAACTTTTAACACAACCGTCATATCGTGAAAACACAAATTACATAGAACGCTTTGATTTTGTTTTTCACGAAGTGACAGCTCGTAGCCGCGCGCGTATACAACATATGGGATTTTTATTATGTGAAGCAATGTCATGATATTCAACAATGGCAGTATAATACATGTAAAAGTAGGCCTAGTAGTAGAGGTATCATTCTGATCCTTATTATCCTGATTATCTTTTGCAAAAACGTCTAGACGATAAACTCAAAGGCATGACAATTGACAATTTGTCATGAATCATTATCTTTAAGCCTACCATTATATGCATCTGGCTCGAATTTCGCTAAGGTATCTGGTACTGGGTGATTTAAATGGTAAAAATGAACATGTGTGCTATTCATTCTAGTCTTATTCATTTGCCATTATGTTTTATGCATTCAAGTTCCAATGTTTCTGACTGTTTTCAAGACAATATCTTTTTTGTCGATCATAGTTCTATGTAGCTTGATATCTCATGGTAATTTTGATAGAAAATCAATCCCAGCAACGATTTCTGAATTGTAGCGACAATCGCGTTCGCCTTTGCTGCTCTTCAAATAATATTTTGACAAGCAGTATTAATTAATTTTCAAGGACTCATGATAAATTCGTTTAACAGTTGGTTACCCTCAGTTGATTCTTTTGTTCGGATTATTTGGCGGGGAGGGATAGAAGTGAACTGTCTCACGCTTAACGACGTTGTATTATTATTCTTATTTGTCCATCGTCTCTACGATGCTCTTTGAATCAAAAACAGCTTTTATTAGGCTTCCTGAAAGAAATTTCAATTGTTGATAAAAAAATTTTGGTTGCACTCTGTAGATTATGATGAGTTTGATCTTGTTTTCAATAACAAGATCTAACACGCGATGAAAATCTACTGGGTGCATGCCAATATTCTTTACAACAATAAACACAAATGAGGTGCTATTCGGTGTGACGTACACATGGCGTACGCATGGTAGATAAAATTATTAAAGAGAACTGAATTTGAACCCGGGCCATAGGCTACCCCCTCTCTCTCTCTCTCTCTCTCTCTCTCTTGGAATTGCCCTTCCTTTCCCTCGCTTATTACCTTTTTGCCACGGAGTATGTACATGTAATGTGCATATACAGGCGCGTACACGGGGGGGGGGGGGGGGGGGGGGTGTTTGGGGGGTTAACCCCCATCATTTTTCTTTCTTTTTGCCCAAGGGGGAGGGGGTGTAATCAGTAGGGAAAAATTGTTTAACAGTTGATTCCCCTCGGTTGACTTTTTTGTTCGGATTATTTGGCAGGGAGACATAGAAGTGAACGGTCTCACGCTTAACGACGTTGTATTATCACTCTTATTTGTTCATCGTCTCTACGATGCTCTTTGAATCAAAAACAGCTTTTATTGTTAGGCTTCCTGAAAGAAATTTCAATTGTTGTTAAGAATTTTTTGGTTGCACTCTGTTGATTATGATGATGTGTTTGATCTTGTTTTCAATAACAAGATCAAACACATAATGCAAATCTACTGGGTGCATGCCAATAAGTTCTTTACAACAATAAACAAAAATGAGGTAAACATAAATTTAAAATATCAAATAATTCATACCAAACATATCATCATCAATTATCATCAATACTGTATTGCATTTTGTAACGTACATAATGGTTTTGTGGAAAGACTCATCATGTATACATCCACGGATTACGAAGGTTATTTCAAACATTATACAGTATTTGTAAATATGCTAAAATGTCTGTATCTTTTGCATCATCATCCTCATCATCTGCGTAGATTGTTTAGAAGACAAAAGAGGTATTCAAAACAGTACTGTGAGGTATAGTCTCTTCCTTGCACGCCATGGTTATCATGTTCTAGCTGAAAGGTTTATATGTTGATCGTAACGAAACAAGGCAGTTCTTGAGAAAAATAGATGGTGGAGTTTTTCAATGGGAAATATGGCTAATATAATCATTAACGTTATTTTTTTGTTCATCAATGTTTTTCATAAATGTTTTGTGAGTAGTAGAAGTAAGTCAGTTTACACAATCTCTTTGTAGGGTATTTCAATAAAATTTAGTACACAGTCTCAAACGCTACAAAGTTTACCAATGCTAAAATGTTTTACCAAGGCGAACACGTAATCTTTGACTAAACAATTATCAGCTGAACAATAAATGATAAACATGGATTTCTCATCATACAGATAAATTCTAAAGAGCAACATTATATTGTATGATTATAGGATAGTTTGAAGTACCAAATACAATTATGATGAGAATAACTAGAGAAGTAAAACATAAAACGATTAAATGTGAACTAGTAACATTGCGTTTTGACAGAAAAACAAATTGTAGAAATGTAAGTTATATTCATGTTCTAATAAAGGCATCAACCCCTGTAAATACTAACATTTAAAAGAAATAAACAAATTCTTCAATACAAAAATATGATATGAGAATTCATGGAACTGAAATCCAAGACTGTAATATGCATTACTGATTTCTAAAAATAAGGAAGGTATACCTGATAAATAGCTATTCTAAGCTATACATTTGAATGCCAAAGATTTATGTTTGCAGGAGTCCATTACAATACTGTAACAGAAAACTGACACACTCAGCTCATTGTTTCAGAAATCATGGACAATGTTACCAGTTCACTTTAAATCAATTCATTGATTGTTATAATCGATCCATTTCATTGCGATTACTGAATTCTACACACAATTTAAAATTATGAGTGGAGTGTTTTATATTTATGATATTCAAAATATTTACAATTAAACAGTATAAAAGAGAGATTGAGGTATTAAAACATTGAAGAATTGGCACAACGATCAATATGATTGATTCTAGTTTCTTAAGCATGCACTTCAAGAAAAGTTCTTCAAGTTTCTTCACACGTATGTCATCCAAGCGGTAGTGGTTGAAGCAGCGAAGATTCTTGATCTAGACTGCTTGAGAGCAAAAGGAAATAAGAGAAAGAAAAATCATAATGAAAAATTCCAAGTCAAAATCAATAGAAAATCATTATCAGAATGTCAATTATGAAAGGGAAACTTTACAGTGCATTATATTTATGATTAGGTGAAATTATTTTGTGTAGTTTTGGTACCAACTTTTAGAGAGGCTCTTAAATTAGAAACTTTAATTGGTATAACCTTATTATTAACAATTTTTGTTAAGGATTAAAAAAAAAAAAAATTAGATGCTGACCTCGATAGGACCACTCATTCCCTACTAAGAGAGCTAAACATTAAAAACAATTAATTAGGAATATCTCAAATTTCAACTATTTGGAAACGATCAAGAAGGGAAGAAGATACCTTTTGATTTGTTCACAAGCATAGACAGTGGCTCATCATCAGAATCGCCATCGAAGCCATCTGAACTACTTTGATGTCACCATGCCAAGCTCTGACTGTATTCAGTGAATTGCTTCAACAATTCCATTCCGCTCCCACTTTGAGGTCACCATGCCAAGTCACATCTGCAGCAGAATTATCAAGGACCCATCTAACCAGCATGTCGGTCCCTGTATCCAATCTAATTTTGTAGAATAAAATAAATAATTACAGTACAAGTTATTTTTCCTTTTTTGTTGTTGCAAGCATAGGTAAAGAAATACATCTAATATTATCTTTTGTACATCAAATTAATCACTAGGCATAACTGACCCCAAACAGACGTTTTCAATTGCCCCTACTAAACAACTACCACCCCAATGCACATTATGCAGTGAGTGTGCTTGGTACTTGATGATCAAGACTTGAATCTATACACTCTATTTACAACAAATATTCAAATTTTGGTTCATAGAACTTTTAGCTGAAAATATTATATACCAATGGACATGTAATTATATAGCCTTCGCCAAAATTAGAAACACGTTCCTGTCCAGCTTTGTACTATATCTGCTAAGTGCATTACATATTCCATATCTATATTTCCCTGTTAATATTTAATTGCTTATGTAGCCATCATTCATAAAAGAAAATCAATGGATGGCATTATACAGATCGGTCATGATTAATCATAACTCTCTATATGCTGCTAATGTGTGATTTTCTTTCACAGACCATGAAAACTATTCTCATCTGGATTTGTATTTGGCCTGCGGCATTGAAAAGTAGATATACCAGTTCTAGTGCTTCCTTCATATAAGCGCAAATTGTATCTACTGCATCTGAAACTAAGTGAAAGCAAAAACATCATCATAATCATTACCACTGAAGTGTAGGTTATTCCTGTATATTCTCATGTGTAATGTTGTGACATGTACATCATCTGGTATGGTGCTTGCTTGGAACATTCTTTAAAACACGGAGTGGAGTTGGGCAACATTTGCTGGTATCAAAAACAGTTGTTAAAAAGAATTATTTTATAGACCAAGGATACTAAAGTGCTGTCTTTAAAACACACCTTGAGTACAGACAATGGAAGAAAATAAGGTAAATATGTGTGCACTGTTCCCCAACCGGTAGACTACTCATGAGATTACTTCAGTCTCAAAACAAAAGTATCCCATTTCTGGATGGTGCCATTTAGTCATTTTCAGGGTAGGAGAGTAGACTATTTGATTTTCATTTTTTAAATAACTGTTCATTCATGTCCCTTTTTGCTTGAAAGGCAATTTATTCCCTATCAGTTAAACAGGAGGGTCTACATATCCCATGCCATCTCAGCTCAGCATGATGATAACTTTCATAACTTCCCTTGCCCTTGGCCATGTTGGCCTTGGGCTTGGAGCCCTGAAGCTGCTTACACCTCAATCACACCTTTACAAGTAAAGTCAAAGTTAAAGTTTTGCTATATTATATATTAGTGACAGTGGTACTATCCTCGGTATAAATTGCTTCATTGTATAAATTGTACAAATTGCTTCATTATACGGAGAGGGGTTTTAAACTAACGTCCTAACGTAATGAACTGATCGCAACTAATATTCAACCACTTCATCCTTTCTTTCCTAATGAATTCTTTAAAATAACAAGCCGAATAACAATACAGAAAATAACTACTAACAATTTACTGACATTGTTAATTGCACAACACAACGCCACTAGGCTATCGTCGATCCAACAGTAAAAGTATTAAGAGAGGACCAGTAACTACGCCCTCCCACATTGCCTGGCGGAAATCATCGAATGACTATGGAAACGCCATTAATCGCAACAACAACAACAACAACTCAGTTTTGTCTAGATCCTGATCTACTCACCTCTAGATTACTGACTAGTGGCTGACATAAATTGATTATGAAATGATGAACTAGAGTTATAGACTCTAAATAAAATGTACAATTAGCTAAACTACTAATACTAAAAGTACAAGTAAAACTAAAACTAAAACAAAAGTAGGGTCTAAACTCTAAGTCTAACTTTCGTTAAAAGTAAAACTTCGTTCTTATTCTTAACTTAAGCAGATGTAAAACAACCAACTAAAACAAACCTTATTAAATCAATATTTGATGTGAATTGAGATAAGAAAGACCCCCCAATTAAGGTATTTAATTTAGATGTATGTTTGTTCAGACATGATTTGGTCGTTTTAGTTTTGCATCACATACTTCACTCCTTTATTCACTTACATGAAAATAAGTATATATGGGGCGATGTGTGGAACGGCGATGCATTTTGTATACATTTCTGCGCTCAATTATTGCTTACAAAGAATCAGAATGACTCAAAAGAGTGTATCATATTACTTTACCTTAAAATAAACTGTAACAAACTCACCTTTACATAGTCTGTCACTGTTCCAAATTGCGAAATTTTCACTCCCGTCACTTCGTGAAACAAATAAAAGCAGAAAAAGAGCGGACGAGAATTTCATGAAGTGACGACCGGCTGTAAGCGCAGCGCGTAACTTAGCCGTCACTTCGTGAAAACAGGAAATCCTTTTACTAGGTATTTTCTTGTTTACGTCATTGTCATAGCGACATAATTCGATATTATTGTGGTTCGAAATTTTGTGAGGTTTAAGTTGTTAGTGAATGATGTCCAAAAATGCAAAAAAAAAAAAAAAAAATATATATATATGCGATTTTCCTTATTACCGTCACTTCGTGAAAAAAGGGACGAGTAGCTCCCCTCTAGATTTGTTGTGGAATGAAAAGCAGCAACAAATCGATGAGGAAATATAATCCTACGTGACTCTGTATGTTGACTTGAAAATACAAAAATATGGTAATACTGTTGAAACACAGTAGGTTAAGTATGCCTCACCCGACTTCGAAAAAGACCTTTACGGTTACAGTAATTAAGGTTGCTCTCTTCTTCCCTGGCCGCCATCTTTTGCACTCAGAATACTGCTACAAAAATTTGTATTTGCACAGTTTTTGTCATTCCAATTTTGTATTTACCATGTTGTCCTCCCGGGTTACACCTATGAGTCTACTTATAAGCCTACTATATACTATTTCTACTATAAAAACTACTACAACTACTATTTTACTACTACTACTACTACTACTACTACTACTACTGTTACTACTACGACGACGACTACTACTACTACTACTACAACTTGTCTGCTAGCAAAGACTATAATATGACACTTTACCCGAAATTCCTAAACCCTTGAGCAGAGCCTAGATCTGTCAGTTTCTGGCATTGTCTAGAGCAGCTTGATTAATTACAGAGTATATCGTAGTCACATTTTGCAGACACTGTTACACACAGTAACATACGTCACTTGCTGACATTGTTTTGATTCTCCGTTCTTCCATTCTTTTCAGATATCAGACAATCAAGGAAGATCTCGAAAATGCAAGCAGTCAGTACGTTCTGCTCAAGGAAATGGCGTCAAATCCGATTGACCCTCACTGTCTTCCCGAAGGATACAAATACACCTTCCTCATTCGGGATCCATCGCGGGTCTTCACTTCGGCTCGGAAAATAGCGGGGTCTAAGTATGCCGAGGTCGGTATGATACCCTCCGAAGCTGATTTTGATTTAATCCGAGATGACCCGATCGACAATCAACCAATGAAATGGTTCGAAAATCAACATCGGCTTTGGAAATACGTGAAAGAGAATATCGACCCAGAGCCGATTGTCCTCGACGCTTCCGACATCGTCTCCAGACCAGGACCAACTATCAAGGCATTCTGCAATGTTGTCGGGTTTCCATACAGCGAACAGCTACTTCAGTTGAAGCCTACAAGTGAAATTCCAAATAATTTTGTCACAGCAGGTAAAAACGTGTTCAAGGAGATGTTCATGTATTATGAGAGAGCCTTCACGAGCACGCGTTTTGTGCCCGACGAGCTTGGTTCAATACCACGTGATCAGCTGTCAGATGACGTCATCAGATGTGTAGATTATTCGATGCCGTTTTATCAGGAGATGCTTGAGAGCAAGCTATGTGTTTCGTAGATCTCGATCTATATTAAAGATACTACGTCCCTTTTGCAGCCAACATCGAATTTCTGTAGAACTTTGCAGGAATTATGAATATGTAATGTATACCCTATGGCCTATCTGTGAAATTTAAACGATAGCAGACTAGCAGTGTCCTAGTATTCGAATTATGCAAGGAAACCTGTTTACTTTCTAGATTTCCCTGTCAGACACTATCGAGTGACTGACCGACATTTTTTTCCTTTGGTAATGACATACATAAAATGAGCTGTAACAGGTACATGTGTATTTTTCTACATCAATAACCCACTACTTTAAATGGCCAAAATTAAACTGATTGAATCTTTGTGCAGCACAAAATGTACGACCATTCGGTACAAGGGTCTGAAAATTAGACTATTACTTAGGTGATTGCAATCACTTATGTCGATTCGACAACTAATGGTCGTTATTTTCCCACAAAAAAGGGACTTTTAGATTTGCGTGGACTGATACGTGGGACGTCCATTCAAGGCAGTGCATTAAAATGACGTCGATCGTAGCAATCCACGTTGTCCGTTGTGCAAATCTAAAAGTCCCTAATGCCATTTTCAAACCCTTTCGTTTTGAGGGAAGTTCTAAATAAGTATTGTCTTTAAAATGCCTTTGGAATTTAACATTTTCATTTTTGTTGACCTGCAAATGGGACATAGTACCTTTAAGTCTTTCTTGACTTGTTTAGAGAAGAGCCAAATTGGGTGGGGGATGTGTATATCATAATCCATGTAGGAATTTAATTAGATGCTTGCAGTGAAACTTCATTTTGAAGACCCTTTACAAACAACTTTAAAGCAATGTAAAATAGTTATCATGTCACCATTAAACAAAAACTTGCTTAAAACGGCATACCCCAAAAATATCCCACACTAACGTGTAGGCCTACATTTGCGACAACATTGGAGGTAGACGAACTAGGTGGCCTGGGCGTTATCCCGATGACCATAGCCCACAATACCAACAATGTCGGTCTCGTTTGCCTTCTAACAACTTTCTAAAGACATTGGGCTGCCTGTTAAATGATGGGTTCCAAGTCAAGATTTATTTCGCTTATCAGAAGCATTCGGCAGATGCTACTCATTCAAACATAATGTTTGTTTATTAATGCGTTGCATTCGGTTAAGATATATGTTTAATTATCATTTGTTTAATTATGTTATTTTATTATTGAGACAGTAGCGTTAAAAATACCATGATGATTGCGCTGACATTTTGCCTCATGTCCCCGTTCATATAGGCATGAGCAATAATACGGTATTCAATTTAGGGGGCGCTGAATGCTGTATTTGGGCTTCGAATGCGTATTTTCTATTTTGTTTCTCGACCAACATGTCTACCTCTCTTCCTCTCTCTTTTTTTTTTTGCCATCTTGATCTCATCCTATTCCCTTGTTGATATTTGCTCTCTCTCTCCCCCATTCTCTGTCACACACTCTCTCTCTCTTTGTGTGTCTCTCCCTCCATATTCCCCTCTATCTTGTTTTTAATCTTCATCTATCCTCCTCGCCCTGCATTAATTGATTTTCAACCCATCTCTCATAATCTCAGAAATATTCTTGAAACATAAAAGAACTGGGTTAAATGGGTTTGTAGTTGTAGTCGAATTGTTTATATTTTATATAAGATGTATATTTATTCTATCCTTTTTGTCATTTTGTACATATGTCTTAACAACATTATAATCCATGTAAATTCACACTGCGAAAATCTTTCTATCCATCTAATCAAATGATTTTACACTGTTTTTACATAAAGGTAGCAATATAGTATATTTTTCTTCTTCAATTTATTGAGCCCTCCACAGGCTATTTATTAATAATCTTCACATAAACAAACAAATCAAATTATGTGCATGTTAAACAAATTTAAAATAATCTTTCTATACAAACAACAATTGTAGTAATTGCCACTTAACAGCAAAATATCTTTCCATTCCAGATATACATACAATATATTTCTTTTCTTGATACTATTATAAAACTTTCTTTTTCAACATATCAAGAAGCGGAACAATACTATTTAATTTATAAATAAACATCTGTTGTTTGATTAATATAACAATGTAATATAGAGCATCGTAGAAATATTATACTTACAAATCAGTATTTACGGTACTTTATTAGAAACAACTTGTAGTCTATTAAAGTGTGTCTGGGGTATTCAGTTACATTCATAAAAAAGTGCTTTTCTCCCTTTTTAAAAATATAACTTAAAAGTATAATTCTTCTAAAATGACATCATAAATATGGCAAAATCTTGTTCCAAATTGATTCTTTATACCGTGAATGAGCATATATTTGGGAGCACCGTGGGATATTGATAAAGGCTCGTGATCCTCGCTCGAGAGGTCACGGGTTCAATCCTTGCTGGGTGCTTCATCCTTGGACACATTGCCCGCATTTGCCCCTCTCGATCCAGGTGAATCAATACATTATCTGTCCCTGACAAAAGCCTGGGGGTAAAAGTCATAATTGCAAGGCCCACAGGAAGACCATTATTGATCACCGATGTGGCTACCCTGAATGGGTAAAAACCAAATTATCATTACAAATGATCCATAGCATTCATGGGACCTGTTTTATGAATATCGTATATCATTCATCTTATATTTTGCAAAATTATTGTGATGAACGTTTTGTTTCCAAAGCCTTATACCTCTATTAAAGTGGGATTTTGATTTGTAATGATTATGTAACAAGTTATTTAATTTTTCATTTTTTTGTTTTAATGAATGATCCTATGCTAAGACCAGTTTTTCATTGTAAACATTATGCAATTATTCCCTAGACCACTACTCTGTATTTTGATAAACCATATTAAATTGAAAACGTTGTAGCAAATAAACAAAATGTTTTGTTTCAAACAGGAACGTTTCAATGCCCTAAACGTGAAATTCCTTTGCGAGTGGTCTTCCCGTTGACTATTGTCTAAATAACTTCAAAATAATTGTGAGATTTGTGTCCCTCATTTCAGTTTGGCCCTTTTCGGGAGCGACAGGCAGAGATAAATTTCACGATATTCTGCTGTGGGATTGTTTTCTTTGTATTTAAAGATAGAATTGAGAATGATTTGAAGGATCTTCTCTGCTCTATGCATTACATGACCCACGTACCCTTGTTTTTTTTTTAATTGTACGTAAGCGTATTGTACATTACAGCTTAGTATCTTATAACATAATTTAAATCGGGTAATTATCAGGCCTGATATATTATCTGGAAACGATAAGGTAGGGAGGTGTTAATATGAATCTGGGCAGACCCCATGGTGGAGACCCGTGCAACCTGTACTGATATCCATCTGGGAATTTACCATTAGGAAGAGAAGGGGTTCACCAATGGCTAGGTAGATACTGATGTCAGACAATCTCGGCAACATCCCGTTACACGATCGAAAAATGAATTCAAGGGCGATTTTAGTATGCGATTACATATCCCATAGAAATTATTTTCAAATTACATAATACGTCATTGCGATGTTCGTACATTTAAATGGGTAACGCACGACGCTATTAAAACTGCGTTAGGTCGATATTTCGAAAGTGTTAGTTATCGTGTTTGCGTAAAGATGGTAAAGAAAGACGGAGAGAGAGAAAAAAAAAAAGAGGAGAGGGAGGGAGGGGGGGGGGGGGTTGCCAGGTATTAATGTCAGAGGTAATAATGTAAAAGAAAATAATGTCATGCAGAGGTAATAATGTCAAAGGAAATAATGTCATGCAGAGGTAATAATGTCAGAGGTACAAACAAAATGTCGAGGTGAAAACCAGTGCCGTCATAATATCTCAGCACTTTATCACACAAAATGTCGAGACGTAAGCTACTGGGCTAGTCTATTTTATTCCCTTCTTTCATATCATAATGTATATTATATAAATGAATGTATTGTACTTCGTACATGTCTTTTTCGATAAGCCTAATATACAACCATTACCTACCAATATTCAACCTGTAACATGCTTTAGTTTTGATATTTTTACCTCTGACATTTTTACCTCTGACATCTACATTTTTACCTCTGAGGAGGTTATAAAAGAAATGAATATTATGATGAAGATGATTCTGATGATGACCATATTAATAACAACAAGATAATGATATTAATAATAATGCTTATATAGCGCACAATACCGCATGGTATTGAAAAATAATTGTATTCTAAAAAATAACAATTACATATTTAGCTATGTTTATTGAAATACATCAAACTACATATAATTAGTAGCATACACGATATACGAACAGCATAAGTATATATATTTAAGGCACATTGCATTTTTAACATTTATCTAATAGGGCCTACGTGATAACGTATACCAGCGTTACAAAAATTGTCATGCATTCTTATCAATTTATATTACAATACATGAATGAGTATGGCATAATTCACAAGGTTAAATTCAACATAATAGATTCCACTATATATAGTTAGTCATGTGTGAAACAAAATAGACCTACATGATGATGGACGTAGGCCTACGTCTGTCTTTATAATCTAAATCAATGTAGGCAAAATAATAAGTTTTCAGTGAACGATATTTGGCGTTTTAACAATATACTGTACCACTTACACTAAACGGAATAATTGATATTGATAGATCATGTCTGAAATGAATCAATACAACTACTTATACGTCACAACATCAGCATCATCAACAAGACAATAACTACACCAACAACAACTATTACTATTATTACTACTAATAACTACACTACTACCATTAGTAGTGATACATTCTGCTTTTCGCATAAGTGCACATTTACAATGTTTACAGAAAGTGCGGAAATACATTCCGAAAAATTAGCTCGATGCTACGTTAATTAACTTAATAATGTTCTTGCATGACTTCAACAGTGTACAATCACGCGTTTAACTTGTAGAAAATCATCTACCAGGATAAATGATATTCATATACAAACACACTCTTTTGTATTGGCACCGATCTTTTGGCTACGTTATTTACAAATTATATACAGACAAAATTGA